ACTTGGAAATTCATTAAGAAACTAAACAATATCACTTTATCAAACCAAAGTTAAAATAACAGAAATAATATTCTTTATTAATAATATACCATCTAAAAACCAATATCTAAAAAATAAAATATACATTTTCACAAAAGAAAACCTAAAAAGGAAAAACACACAAGAATTTTACAAGACCAACCAAAAGAAAGAAGTTATGACTCCAAATGTGAAAGAAGATTTAAAACCACGAAGAAGGAAAAGGAGAACTGAAAGAAAACAAAAGATGGAGAAATTCAATTTTGAAAAACCTGGAATATCAAGAAAACTCAAGGAGAAGAAAAATATCTGCGTTAGAAAAATCCGATATGGTGAAAGAGAGAAGCCAAAACAAGAATGAAGATAAAAGATTTAGAATAAGAAAGAAGACAACAATAAACTAACGTGAAGAAAAGTTTTAAAGAAGCAAATTATTGTTATAGTCTATCGAAATATATAATTTGAAGATGACAATGAAGCAGCCGATACAATTTAGAAAATTGGCTAGAAACAATAGTTTTGTATAAGCATTTTGGAATGAACTGATAATAGAAATTTGTAATCGAAATAATCGAAATACCAATATAACTAATAAATAAATCTTTCAGGATAAGTAGATATTATAAAGCACCAGATGTAAAAATCTAATAAAGCAAAAAGTATAAAACTGTTTATAATAAATAAAGGCATTGTTATAAATAGAGTTTTTGAACATATGTTTGGAGATATCGTGGAAAACTTCCAACCAAGTTTAATGGTTGACTTGCAATTCATTATTAAAATATCTTCAAAACAAGATGACGCTTTTTGGAATAGGTCTTCGTTTTTGGAAGAAGATTTATAAGAAGATTTGGATTTTACAAGACCAAGTAAGTAACTTATCAAGAAGATAATTGTGATAATAATTGTGTAATAGTTTTTCATTGTACTAAGATTTTAAGAAGCAATTGAATTGTGAGAAATTGATTTTATTCACGCAATTAAATACAAAATTGAATTACACAAAATGCAAGTATGTAATGATGAAAATATATAATGCAAAGATAACAAAGACTCAGAAGTTACTAAAAAAGGAAGAATTAAATCAGTGAAAAGATGGAATGAAGTAAGAGTACAATACAAAACAATAATACATACAACATTCTCTTGATATCACCATCTCCTTTATCAGATAATTCTAATTGGGCACAAAGATAACAATGTTTACGAGCAAGTTCTTCAGAACGATGAGCTGATTTCTCTTTGGTAAGGGAATCAATTCTTTTGCGAAGTTGAAGGACACCATTGCAAAGAGTGATAAGTTCTTCTCTCAATTGAGTATTAGACATTTCATCAACAGGACGAAATATTAAGTGAAAGTAAATTTCATCGTCTTTATGATTCTGAGCAATAGGATGATTCTGAATATTTTGGATATTCTGAATGATAGGAGGACGAACAACATTTTGGACATTAGGCAAGTGAACAGGAGGGAAGTTGAGAATCTGACGGATGGGAGAACCACGAGGAACATCACGGGGATTGTCACATGCACCATCATAAATATTTTGACCATCAGTGCCATCATCACTAACATTAGACTCTGATCTTTGCATACTACAAGAGCATTCATGATAAAAATCAGTGAGAAAAAAAAATCTTTTTTGAAAATTTTGAACGTATATGCTAAGATACACTCACGTGATTAAAAATGGAAGATAAAATCCAACAGAAACAAGAAATAATAAGACAAGATATTTATAATACAAAAATAATAATGAAAATGTAATACTTCATAATGATGCAATTGATATCTGAGAAACTTATAAATTAACATCATGACATAAATGTAATGATCAAATATTAGACTTTATTGATGACATTGAAGAAAATAGAATGACACCACGAAGTAACGTGATGAAGATCATATGTCTTTAGAGGTTTCTTAAAGACTTATTTTCATCTTCAAGAGCTTTAATTCTATGACGAAGTTTAGTAATTTCAGCATGAAGCTCATTAGTCTCCTCAGCAGAATCTTTTTCCTCTTCAGCAAGAGCTTTGATAAGACGATTAATTTCCTTATTTGCAAGACAAAAGTAATTGCAAATCTCTTCGACAAGAACAAAGGATGATTTGGGAGGAGGAACGAAACCTTTTGAAGTAGAAGAATAAAGAGCTTTGGAAATCAAGGAAGAAACAAAATTGTCAAGTTCAATACAGCGAGAACAAGGGGTGTCCTCAGAGGAAACCTTGAGAGAATCCTGAACATGACGAAGGGCGACCAAGGCTGTATCAAGATCTTGGAGAACACTATAAGAAAAATAAATTAAAAGAGAATAGAGACAAATAAATACATCAATCAAGGTCTTACTTGTTGATATTTGAGGAAGACATTTTGGAGAAAATAACAAACATATCACACTCTTTAAATATGCAAGATGACAACTGTGATCATTTACAAAGAAGGAAGACAGAAAGTGATAAACAATATACACAAGGAAATAATCAAGTACCAATAATATTATGGAAAACTTTATTGAACCCTTTAAAGGAAATATTTAAGTAATAATATTAATAATCAAAAGTACAAGAAAGAAACAACAAAATATATTGAACGAAAGACAAGAAAAAGAAACGTTAAGGAGAATCATCATCAGAAGGACCTTGAAGATAATGAATGTAGTCTTCAAGCTCATGTTTGATATGAGTAAGAGAACTAACTTCTTTTCTGAGACGAGTGTTTTCTGCTTCAAGCAGAAAAGTTTTTATATAATAGTGCGTATAAAAATGACAAAGATCCCTGATGGCAATATCAAGAGGATTATCCTGCATGAAAGGAACATGTGGAAAAGTGGCATCAATGAAGAAGCGAGCAGAACCTAGGATGCCTTCAAGATGATTACAACAAGTTTCACTCCATTATGATTGGCAAGTGATTATTTTAAGAAAATCTTGGACATTAGAGAGAGTAGTTAGAGCCATATTAAGATCTCTGATGGGGATATTCACTGAATTCTTAGGGATAATAGGAGAACCGTTTGGAGAAGAAAAACCAGATGAGATAGTAGCATGAGACATTTTTAGGAATAACGCAGAGAATATCAAGATCTTTTATTAACATTCAATGGAACACAAACTTACAGAAACTTATAGAAGAATACAACAATAACAAAAGAAAAAGGAAATAATCGAAATATCAATAAAATCAAAAGAAAGTCAAAGAATAAAATCGAAAGATTTGATCAAGAAAAGAAAAGAACTTTTAAGAACTTTTATAACTACCAATAAGATCATGAAAAGATTTATTTTCTTCATGGAAGGAAAAATTCTCTGACGAAAAAATAATACTTTGAGATTTAAGATCTTTAATAATATTATAAAGAGATTGATTTTCCTCTCTAAGAGAAGAATTCTCTGAATGAAGAGTAGAAATGATATTTTGAAGTTTAACAAGTTCTTTATGAATGATATCATAAGAATTTGTAAAAGAAAGACATAGGTAATCAACTATCGAAGAGAGTGGATGATTTAAAGGAAACAATGGAAAATGATTCCGGATGACTTTCTGAACCAAGGTGACAATAGAAGAACTATCTGAAACTTCAAGACATCTAAGATGAGTCCTAATGTTAAGAATAGATTCTTGGACATCAATCGGAAGATGTTGAGATTGAATAAGACTCTCTTCAAGAGATTTAAGCGAGTCCAAGATAGAGTTACAAAATAATTGTAAATATGAGGATGTTGATAAAGAATCTAACAAGAAATATTACTTATTAGATAGAATCAAAGCAAGAGGAAGACATTTTCGAATATTAATAAACGAATATACAACATCCCTACTTAAATAAGTGAGAAAATTTAACAATCATCACCAAATATAGAATTGGTATAAACAAAAAGGAAACAGATGATAAGTGAAAATACCAATGACTTTACAGTTCAAGGAGTTGTTCTTTTAGAAAGAAATTTCTAATTTAAGATTATGAACTCTGTCGTATAACAAGAATAAAAGAAAGGTCACAGAAAGAAACAGCACAGAATAAACAACCTATAATCTTAAGTAAAAAGAAAATTGATAAAAAATATGGGAAGAAATGATTAGAAAAAACTAAAGATGAAAACAAGTAATACGGGGATGGATCATTGTATCCAATAAGAATCAAGTAAACCATTATACTGCACGAGAAGCAATGGAAGTAGCCTTATAAGTCAAAAGAACACATGATGCTTATTGAGGTAACGTCACATGTGCAGTTCCTTAAAAATAATAAAAGGAGCATCAATAATTGACAAAAGAGAATCTTTAACAACAAAGAAATAAAAACTTTAATACGAAGACAAATATGACTTGTCAGAAGCAAATAAGGGAAGGTAAAACTGAAATTATAAAAGAAAAATGCTTTCACCCGTTGCTAAAGGAAATATTTTTGAAAAAAAAGTGTATGAAAAACTTTAACAAGTTAATATCGAATCAAGAAGAGTTGAAAAAAAAGAAGATAATGGAATAGATATTGAAGGAAAAATAGCAGAAAAACTTTTCATAATACAAGTAAAGAATTGGACAACTGTAAAGATTGATAAGTTGGCCACTTACTAAGATTGTTGAGTTATTATATGGTCTGAAGTTACGCTGCCACACATAGAACCTCAGAAATGTGAAACCCATGTACTAATTTGGAGAGTGATTTTAACTGGGTTTGTTGGTGAATAGGACTATATGAAAGTTTTGAGAAAGCACATCATGGCCACAATTTGTGAAAGTTATCAGTCAAGTAATCAGACTTGATATAAGATTGATGACCTATTGTGAACATTCTTGAGATAATCTTGATAATGATGACACAGACTTACCTTAAGTTTTAAAATTTAGGAACAAGTGTTGTAAGAGAACTCAAGAGAACGATAGGTGAATTACAAGAAGAAGAAGAGATTATAGGAGTAATCGTAGCACCAACACGAAACCAGTTTATAAGAGGGGCGATGAGATCTGCTTATGAATTAAAGTATGCTATTATATTAACAGATAAAAATAACTTACGAATAGATCTTATAAATCTTGTAAGAAGAAAAGAAGCATTCAATCTTTCAAAATTGTACTTTGTGACATCTTTTATTTTTAGTATATTATTATATTTAATAATAAAGAGTGTAAGACTTTATTAAGGATTGATAATATATTCACAGAGACGAAAAAATAAACATGGATAGTAATCTAATAAATAAATTCTCAACCTATAATAATCAAATTTTCTCACTTTCGCAAGACCCTCTAGTTTGTTAAAAATATAATAATTATTACCATAGCGAGAATGCTGATATTCAAAAAGATTAAGGAAATATAAAAATTGATGAGGGTGATCGTAAGAAGAACATTTTCTTCTAAAAATCATTGGATTACCCATAAGCAATATTAAGATACAATGAATAAAGATAATAGAAGAAATACAAAGTAAATAATAAAATGTATACAAATGAAAGAAATACACCAAGAACGAAGAGTAGCATTAAGAAAAGAATTAAGAGTATCGTAATCAAAACAAGGGAAAGTATTACCAGTAATAATGTTGGTAACAGAAACAATTCTTGAAGAAGGACTAAATAAAAAAGAATATTATTTGTGATAATCTTTAACTTTTAAAATATTTAAAAATTTAGAAGGATTATCTAGAAAGGAGCCTTGTAAGGATAGAAAGTTGTTATGTCGAGGCATTGGGAAGAGCAATAATCAAGTCATCAACAAAACTGGGTATGTTATCAGAAATTTTGGGCTCTATTAAATCTTTAGCTAATAATTCAGCAAGAATATCATCGAAGAAATCTTGGGAATCTTCAGGGACAAGAAAAGAATCTTGAGATGATGAA